GTTATAACCTTGGGCCACCTCCCAGGTACTCACTTAACCCATTTATAAAATAGGAGAGGTGGAGGAATGTGGTGATGGATGTTTGGGAACCCTTGTTAGATATGGCTTGAGAAATGTAGTGCTAGTCAGTGGAAGAGGTAGGATTAAAATGGCTGGCTTCTTTTCTCTAGGCTAAGAGGTATTTTGGTGGGAGAGCAATGTTGTAACTTGATTAAAGAGTGAAAGAATTTAAAAGGACTATCTGATGTGGAAAGAGGAGAGGGGAAGCATCATCTCCTTTGTTTCCTCCTCTTCTCTCCACCTCTCACCTCATCCCAGAGTGTCTCGCCCCCAAATAGATTTTCCCCATAGTTTTTCCTTTGGTTTGATTGCACCTACTTTGCTGGGTCTTTTTGGAACGATTTGGTGATGAACCCTGCCATGTGTGGAGCTCTGCTTCCTCTGTCTGCTCTGCAGTGCTTCTTAGGTCTGATTCTCCTGAGAGGCCCCCAGGCAAGAGGAGAATTTCTCAGTTCTGGGACAGTTTGGGCAGCATGCCCAGGGCCCTGGTTACTCTGCAGAAAGTACCATGTTAAAATGCTGTCTCTGATAACCATGTTTTCTCTTTTTACCAAGGTCTTTCTTTGGTGACTCTGGACCCAAAGACAGCGCATCCAAACCTCGTTCTCTCTGAAGATCTGCGCTGTGTGAGACACGATGATACAAAGCAGATGCTCCCAGATAACCCAGAGAGGTTTGATTCCAGTGTTGCTGTCCTGGGATCTGAAGGATTCACTTCAGGGAAACATTATTGGGAAGTGGAGGTGGAGAACAAGACCAAATGGACTTTGGGAGTGGTCAAAGAGTCCATCAACCGGAAAGGGAACAACACATTATCACCCAGGGATGGATACTGGCTTATAAGGCTCAGAAACAGGAATAAGTTTAAAGCTTTGGATATACCTGCGAGAGGTCTGACCCTGAGCACTAGCCTGTCTAGGATTGGGGTGTATCTGGACTATGAGGGGGGACAGGTGTCCTTTTATGATGCTAATAAGATGTCCCATATCTACACTTTCATGGACACTTTCACAGAAAAGCTTTACCCATACTTCTGTCCCTGCTTGAATGACTCCAGTGAGAACAGCGAACCCCTGAAAATCTTCTTCAACATGTAGGAGCAGATTTGCTGATGGCTGTGAAGCAGGGTTCCCTAGACACCAGTAGGTCTGAAACACGGCTCATAGATTTAGTAACTGATGTTACTAAAAATGTGTTGAATATAGCAGGGTGTGTCCCTTCCAACACACCCAGCATCACAAATGCTGTTTGTAGCACTTGCCTCTGATGCTTTCATAGGGTTTTCCAGGTTTAGGGGCGGTAGTCTGGGGAGTGGGGAGGGTTTCTGGTAGTGGCTTGATGGGAGGTTGGGACTTCTGCCATGAGTGAGTCCTGATTCAGTCTCACTCTATTTTGTTGATGGAAAACATTCCTGAGGCCTGGAAAATACTCCCCACTTGACCAGTTCCACGGGCTGGGACAGGATCCAGTGGGCTGGGATCTTGAAAGTGTGGAAGGTAAGTTGATCAAGTCTAGGCAGGACTGGGTAGGAAACCAGCAGGGAGCCAGATCCGAGAAAGTAATAGAGCCAGCTGCAGGGAAGGGTGGTATTTGGGCTGAGCTGTCTCCAAGGGGTTGCCTGAGGGCAATGGAGTTGGGGTATTGGGGGGAAGGAGCTGAGGATGAGTATACTGTTCTTCACTTGTTCTAAGGGTTAAGGAGATCCTCTTAGGCAAGGAAAGGGTCAACATTTCTCCTCTAAATAAGACAGGCTCAAATGGCCAAGGCTGGGAGAGAAATGTGCATTGGGACTCCTTGAGTGTAAAAGTTGCCCTTTTAAACCAAATTTTATTCCATTCAGTCTCCTCTTGTCCACCATAAACCAGTATAGAACTCTGCACAGTAACCTAGAATCATAGAATCATAGAATATCAGGGTTGGAAGGAACCTCAAGAGGTCATCTAGTTCAACCCCCTGCTCAAAGCAGGACCAATTCCCAACTAAATCATCCCAGCCAGGGCTTTGTCAAGCCGGGCCTTAAAAACCTCCAAGGAAGGAGACTCCACTACCTCCCTAGGTAACGCATTCCAGTGTTTCACCACCCTCCTAGTGAAATAGTTTTTCCTAATATCCAACCTGGACCTCCCCCACTGCAACTTGAGACCATCGCTCCTTGTTCTGCCATCTGCCACCACTGAGAACAGCCGAGCTCCATCTTCTTTGGAACCCCCCTTCAGGTAGTTAAAGGCTGCTATCAAATCCCCTCTCATTCTTCTCTTCTGGAGACTAAACAATCCCAGTTCCCTCAG